AATTGTCGCACACATACTTAATGCTAATTTCAAACTTATATAGTTTTCTCATGGGTGCCATACTCAGAACTGAATCAAATTGAAATGACACCAAACGGGACGCACCAGCTTTCACATAAAAAAAATAATTAAAATCGCTTAATTCAAACATAAAAAAATACAAATAAAATGATAACCTCCTCCTTTATTGAATTCAGTTGAAAGTATGCTTTATTATTTATAGTATTCCTACAATCTTTTATCTAAAGTTACATCCATGATTTCCCTTAAATATAAGTAAGAGAAAGAAAAAAAACCCAGTCAACAAAAAACACACGACTTGAAATATTTTAAATAAGCATATCACATTCACTATTTGTTTAAGATTTAATATCTCTTAACCTCAGTTTTATAAACAATACATAACTGATTGTTTTCTGAAAATATATATCCCATAAAAAAGAAAATATAGTAGGGATACCAATGTATAAGAATTATTCGATTTCCTACCAGACATTTTTAATTTAAAGAAAGAATTTAGGAACATGTAATATAACGTAGAGCCCATAAAGTAGACAGTTACACTCTACAACATTCCCTTAATTTAAACGGATTATGTTGTCTTTAATTAAATTAAACAGCGATGTTGTAAATTGCATCCACTTCTATCTACTCCGAGAATGTTGTGTGGTGTACGTCGTCAATATTTACTTCGTATCCCGTCTTTATATAAATAAAGATGGTAATTTACTCTTAACTTATACTATAAAATAAATAGAGTATATCTCGTACGTTTCACAAAAATACTCTCCCGAGGAAAATAACTTTTTCTTCGAAACATTTTGGAGTCCAATCTCAGTTGATAACAAATTCGTGACTGAATCGAAGTAGTTATAAGTTTGAGGGTTCTCAAATTCTTAAAATCTTCGATAGACCACGGTCTTTTAGCAGTTGTAAAGTTGGATATACTTATCAAAAGGCCGTGTTTTATCTCTAAATTGAATATTTCAGGTGTGAAAATGTTTTTTTCGTTGTTTTTGTCCCAAGGCCTTCTGTATTAAAAACATGCCGTAACAGCCAGTAAGATCATTTGTATATCTTTCGCAACTTTTCTTAATTTATTGAAATCAATAGTACATCAATCTTGGTCATTAGTCGAATAGCATCTTTAAAACACGAACACATAATATACTCGTACTTTCAGTTACGTCACCGTATAGTTTCTACCAATTTGGTTTTTTAAGACTAATACTTTTTAAACCTAAAATTGTTTAGACAAATATAATATCCACTATATCTGTTAGAATATATTTATATTCTTGGGAAGCTCTTCCATAAAAAACTAAGAGCAAACTTTAAAATTAAAGTTCATTGAAAAAAAAATGTTTTAATTTTTTGCAAACTTCTTAAATATAATAAATCGTATTTAATGAAAAAATTTACACCTTAAAGCTGAGCCTAACGTCTGAGCTTGTGATTTAAGACCTTAACTTGGATGTTACTTATTAATCCTTTATTTCTGGTGATTTCATTTTTTTACTAGTCTAATATTCAAATCTTACTTACCGATATCGATGCTGTCATACATATTTTTAAAAGCAAATTATATTATAATTACATCGTTATAATTATTACATAGTAAACCAGATTAAAGTTTTTATTAAACAAGAATAAGGTCTATGTTAATATTTAGTCCTAATAAGGAACTAATCTCTGTTTAATTTTATATAATTAATTCGAAACATTTAATACGCTAAAAAACATTTAATAAAAAGCGTTGTACATAATATTCGTCGAAACTGCTTCCGAGTAAAGAGAACATGATTTTCTAAGTCAAGCTCCTAGTTTTATTTTGTAATCATCACGAATTCAAAGCGGCCTTTTGATTAATACTCGTAGCTATAATATATTATAACATAAAGATAAATGTATTTCTTTGTGATTTTAAGTAAATCTTAATACGGCTTGTTTTAGTTTGTACGGGGATTTAATAAGTGAGACACAGTTGTTGATAATAGGAGGAAAACAAGACCTCTAGAGAGGTTTAATGCCTTGTTCTGTTTTATTAACAATATAGTGTTGCAAGTCTGAACAATATTACAACTATCTTTGTGTGTTAATACGCACAATATATGGTCGTGCAAAGGTGATAGCTTTATTATTAGAGGGTAGAAGGATCGTCAGCTTAAGTTTCTTTAAAACAATTAGAGTATCTCGTATAAAATATATTAATTATAATTTATTTATTGTATTGTAGTGTCCGTGTGTGCTATAATAAAATATAATTATTATAAATGATATCATAAACATAGAAAGTTTACTTAAACTTCCATAAATTTATCTTAGCATATTTTTTAAAATTTAATTTAAATGTAAGCTAAATGTATAGAAGCAAAGCAGTTTGCGTAAGTTTGTCCCGGATGACTGAAGGCAGTGTGAGTGAATGCAAATAAACATTGCACTACTTACAAAACATCTACACCTAAATAGTTATATTCTGGCAATCATACATTACCTACTTAATAAGGGTATTTAGACTTTAGAGATTCATAATTTTATTAGATTTCTAATAAGCTACAAGCGCCATCTATCGGAAGTAAATAGAAATACTATCGACTGATCACTACTAGCGCTGCCTTCTGGCCCGTGTGACCGTAATCAGTATTGAGTATTAATCACTGTTTATTCGCCATACAAATACCTTATGTTAAGTCCGTGTTTCATATTGAGTAGACTTTAAAAACTTTGAAAAGAACCGCGTCTCGAAACCTGACTAAAGTGCTAGAAAAAGTTATAATAATCATTACATAATATTATTTGTATTATAATACTTCAAATTATTTTTAGTCCTTCTTTGTTGTTGCTGGACATTTAAAATTATAATCTTATAATGTAACTACAAAGTTTTGTATCTTAAAGAGATGTTTTATAACGTTTCCTTATACATACATCTATTGACTTAAATTAGCATTGAAATAGTTCTGAATCATTACATTCACAATAAATTTGGTCACAGTTAGGTGAAATATACTTTAGACATATTTGTGTCAACTCAACTGTCACCAGATACTAATACCATTTTAGGACATTGAAAATATTTAGACAACTTCGTGTTGATCTCTTTAGAAAATAGATGAAAGGAGAGAAATAAATTATTAGAGAAACAAATACATTTATTGAAGAACTAAATGAGAAATAGCAATATTTTTCACATGTCAAAATTATTTTTGCTACAAAGAGGTTTTTATAAAAAAAGAATTCATAATTTTCTATAAATACTTCAAAGTGATTTTCGTCAAAATATTATGAGTGTATGAATGTTTTTGAAATATAATTTATACATCTTTGAGGTAATTACATACCTTTTCTTCATAAATCACATGTACATACATGACATCTGAATCGAAACATGACTACAGCGAGGTAGATTCAGACTCCTAAATATTGAAGTTCAATCCACACATTACATAAAAATTACGTTTTTGTATGATGATAAATATTTTTATTAACAATTCAGATTTATCAAAGAAATTGCTTTTACGCCGACATAAGTGCCAAGTAATAAATTAGGCTCTGCTAATAATAAGTTTACAAGTCTGAAAAGGATATTAAATGGGTTTATAAATGACTCGCTTTATGTCCTGGTTTTGCTTCAGTGTAATTGGAAGCCTTATCCTATTTATTTATATTTATAATATTACTTTTCATGAACATTATTTTCTAAGCTCGCAATTACTTTTTTTTTATTAAAATGTGAAAAAGTTCCAATTTATATCAAACATATTTGGAATATTTTGTGTAAACATACTTTTTGTTCAAAAAAACGTATTCGTAAATATGATAAATCTTGAAAATTCAAAGTTTTGACAGATTTTCCCTTAAAAGCTTTCGGTCCATGTCTCTGAGTTACAAATCATAAATTCCTTCGCCACAGTAAGAGTCTATGAATCGAAGCGTGTCCGTTTGTTTAATGAGATGACATAAAAGGGGTGGGACGAATGGCCCCCATAAATTATAGTGGTTTCTGAACACACCATTGACTCTCTCGCAATGGCTTTGAATTGATATATTTATATTTGTTACATAAGAAAACCATTACCTTGGACATTCACATATTCCCGTGTTTACATTGTAGGTTTTCAAATTTAAGGTTGTAAACATTTCCAGCATAAGAATTGCTCTAATTAATTTCAACTAGTTAGATTTTACCACGATGTTAATAGCGCAAGCAGTATTTTAGGAACTTTCTCCTGAACTTAGCAGGTTTATATTAAGAATATAATATTTATAGTTAATTTATAGATCAGAAGTTATTGAAACAAGTTATTAAATATTATGAAAGAATAGCTGGATTTGATATTTTATTAGAATATTTTATAAAAAAAACTATTTTCTTCGCAAAATGACAGATTTTCTTTTTGACAACAAATCTGGTCTATGAAATATTGGTCAAAGTGAGATCAATAAAATGTATTAAACTAAAAGAGATTATATATGTGTTTATAGTTAAAAATATGTTAAAAATCCAACCAAGTTCTCATTTAGCATGAAGGTTTTATATTGGTTTGCAATAATCTAGAATATAACGTTCTGTTGATACTGTTTGTGGCCAAACTCCTTTGGAACCTCTTAAAAGATTTTTCTTTCTGAAGCCAGTTCTGCAGTCGAAAACGACATCTTGGCATAAGCTTATCATATACTTTTAGCAAAAAAATTCTATATGAATTTTAATTGAATTGAAAAGATCCTGACGATTTGCAATAATTTTTATTTTACTTTTTAATATTGGCCACATATTTATTTCTCATTTAGTAATTTTTTAAAAAGAAAAAAGAAATGTCGTAAAAATGTTACGATACATTTATTTCTTTACTTTGTTTTTATTTATAAATAACATTTATTCTTTTCAATATGCATCTGATGTTGATTCAAATGTTAAAATTTATAATAAGAAATCAAATCTTAATAATCGTTTAAGGGGAAACAGAGAGAAAAATTATAATAAACGTCAAGATTACGAAATGGTGTATGAAAATGATCCTGGAGCCCAAATTGATGTGGCTGGTTTTATTCAAAGTCCAGATAATAGTTTCGAAGAAGATCAATTTTATCAGCTCGAAAACGACAGGTAAATAAATAGGTTTAAATTTTTAAAATAGTTTATATTTGTCTCAAATGCTATAAATTATTCAAGGAAACAATCCGACTACGGTGGCTCTGTTATGCACGATGATGAAGAAAATAGTAATAAAATTATTCAGGATTACCAGAACTTAAATATAAATAATATACCAGAAGTAAATATATATAGCAAAACAACACATATTGTCCCACAAAACATAGATTTAAACGCTATCTCTGTGAGTGATCACAGTGACCTAATGGATACATACAAATTAAATGGTATAAAGAATAATGAGAAGTCATCACTTAATGTAGGGCATAGGAGTGAGAAGAAGTGGTGAGTAAACAATAAAAAGAAATATTTAAATAAAATAGTTATAAGAAATGAAGAGTCGATATTAAATTAGTGAAACCAAAATATGCATAACGTTAATATTTAAGTTGCATATTCTGCATAGTCTACACGGAGAGATACGTCTACATCATTATTTAGGCTTTAGACTTCGACTGCTACGTCGCAAATCGTAAAAAAGGTTTATTTAGAGATTTTGGCAATATTATGCAGTGAAATAAACCCTTTGATAAGAATATGTAGGTTTTGTTGAAATAAATATTAACCATGGTATCTAAACCATTATATATATAAAAAAACAACTGTCGGCCTTATGTTACAATAAAATATACACCTTTACCCGTAAATCTCAACATTTCATCAAGTTAGTGACATAAAAGTCATTGGAACAATTCTGTAGAATAAACAACTCTTAAAAATATTTTAAAAACGTTTTTATTTATTTATGTACTCCTAAGGTAGATTGTAGAAAACAAAAATTAAAAAAATAATTTGGAATTTTTTAGCGCTTTAAAAAATATGAAGATCCCGTTTTTTTCCCGTAATAAAGAGGCAAAAGTAAAGGAAAGAGCACAAAATAAAAGGTGGCTATTTGTATTTGGCAAGTCCAAAAAACAAAGTGCTACAAAAAATGATTTGAATAAAGAATTTTCGGAAGTACCACATTTTTCCAATAAAGTAATAAAGAGATCGTATAAAAAACTCTGCCCTGCTTGTCGAGAAAAAAATATCGAAAATGAACTAACAAATGCACTAAAAAGTCCAACTTCGGATGATATAATTCATAACAGTAGACAATATTACCAAAGGAGGAACAATAAAGAGGAAAGTGAGCAATCTGAACCAAGTTTAAGCAATATAAGTAATAATTTGAAACAAAAGTTTGATATACATTCTATGAAGAATGGAAGGTTGAAAAGAAAAGTCCAAATTACACAAGAAGAAAAACAGAAAATCGAATTAGAAGAGCTTGCAAAGAAAATAGACAGCGTTAAAATAGACACTGAAAACAAATGAAGGATAGATTGAAGAAAGTTTAATTTTACATAAAATTTTATTTGTTTATTCTTAATTATTAGTTGACTAAGATTAGATTAAACTGATTGCATTACTTGATTCTAACAGTTCTATAAAAGGCTTAATTTTTTATTATTTTATTAAGTAAACACCGAGATGCTCTATATACAAAGTTAGATAATAAAAGTTAAATAAATAACGTAATCGTGTTTAATATTCTATCATTTTAGTGCAAACAAATATACTCAAAAGAAGAGTAACAAAATAACCCATGTGATCGTATAAAAATACAAAAAATATAAATAAGTAACAGCGGACGATCTTATGTCAGAATAACAGTTCTACTTATCGACCTTATGGTTAGTAAAAATTTAACATTGAACATTAGGACCAAGCTGTTGCAGGTGGTAAAATTATAATAAGGAGAGTAATTTAACATGAACACAAAAAAAATACGAAATATGGTAACACTGCTGATTTTAACGATAATAATAAAATTATATCGGTCCTCGTATAATCAGGTATTTAAGAGTAAACAAAAAGTAACATTGCTTCAGAGTAAGGTTAGAATATGGTAAGTTATGGTGTCACTAGCAGTGAGTAAGTTTTGAGTAATATTTATTTCGTACATTATAAATTTTGTATATTTTTACATGTAACGTAAATGTTTAGTAAAATCGAAAATCTTCAAAGTGTGTAGCACACGCCGTTGCAATTTTATAAACAGTGAAAGAACCATCTGGAACAAAAAAAAAATATTTTTAAGAATATGTATATGAAACTTAACATTTGACATAATTCTTTGGTCCTACCAATTTGAATCCATTCAGGCATTCCAGATTCTTTACGTGCTGAAGCTATAGCTGCTCTCATAGCTAATGCTACGGAGATTCCCATACAAGTCGCAGGTTCCCCAGTTACTACGGTAAAAATAGTTATTTACGTATTTTGAAACAGTCATCAATTTTGTAGCGAATGTTTAATCATATATATATTTGTTAATATTAACACAACTTATTTCAAGATACCTTTAGCTCCCAGAAGTTTGGCTGTACTAAAAGATTTTTTTCTAAAATAGATTCTGAAGTCCTGAGGAATGTCTCTTGCACCAGGTACCCAGTACTCCCATGTACGGTCCGTGAGAATTTCTCCACTTTCTGGATCGTAAATGATATTCTCACTGGTCCAGTAACCGACACCCATTATAAAAGCACCTTCTATCTAAAATTGTTTACAAATAATATTTTATCGAACTAAATATCAACAGGAAAGTTATTAAAGCATTTAAAATGTATGACAATATTCAACTTACTTGACCGACATCCAATTCAGGGTTAACACTTCTACCCACATCTTCAATTAGATCAACCCTTATTATTTCCCATTCACCAGTCAGAACATCTATTTCAACTTCTGCTAGTGTTATACCATAGATACTATACTTCTCTTCATCCTTATCATTCACTAAATCATGTACTTGTAAATCTACATTCATTTCATAAGCTTTTTTAACCAATTCCTCCCAAGTTGGGTTATTTAACTGATTTTTAACAGGTTCAAGTCTTCTAAGCAATTCTTCGCAACATCTTTGAATACCTATTCCTACATTTTGAGAAGTTATACTCAAACCAGTTGGGCCTGCATTAGGTGCAGTTACAGTATCATTGGGCTTCACTTGAATCTTCTCTATGGGGATATTGAGAAAATAAGCTGCTATTTGAATTGACCTGGTGTTAATTCCTTGTCCCATTTCTATGCCACTATGAGTGATAGCCACGGTGCCATCATCGTGATAAACACACATGTTTACCTCTAAATACAATGAACCGACGGGATCCCATCTTAAAAACGAAAATCTCAAACCACGTTTCTTCCATCTATTTTCATTATTAAATTGGTCTACTATTATTTTACGTTCCTCATAGTGTGAATTAGATTTCAGTGTTTCAAGCATTTCAAGTATATCGTTATTTTTTTTTCTATCCAAATTTGTTAGACGAACATCAAGCGGATCTAAATTCATCTCGTAAGCGATTCTTTCCATTAATAATTCAGACATTGCAACATTTTCCAAAGTACCTGCAACACAGTAAGTAAGTATTTTATAATTTAATAATATTTACGTAAGCGTCACTGGATTTATTATAATCACAGTCTACCTGGCGATCTACACCATGAATTTGAGGGTGTATCCGTTATGGCGTTATAAGCTTTATAGGTCCAAGTTTCATTTTTGTAAACGTTGTTAAACAAGCTGACACCCAAACTTAGTAAAGATTCATTTACTATGTAACCATTATCACTAAAAAGCTCATAATTCAATGATTGTATTAGTCCAGCTTTGTTTACGGATATCTAAAAATAAATATTAAAAGGTCATCTATTAACGTTAAATAAATATCAATTAATAAATTAGTAAGGGTTGTTAAAGTTTCATTATTCAGTGGCATGAACAGATTAGCAAATTTTTTTAATAGGCTCTTTTATGTTGTCTAAAAATTATATTTACCAAGAAAAAATATGTTTGCGGTGTAGGATTACCTACTAAAAGTTTGGTACTACAAAGACAAAAAAATATTCGAGGATTACACTCTATTCGTAGAAATTATTTGCAAGAATTAATTACACAAGTACTTAAAAAATTACCTCAAAACTTGTAGAACAGGGCAATCGCTTCCCGGTAGCTCTCATATTAGTACTAAGACTTTGTATAAACCGACAAGGTCGATTGAGTTTGTATGCAACCAAAGCACTTCCTAGTGACACTTGTGTAATTCTTGATATCTTGTAACCATACCCACCACCCAAACGACGGACATGAATATCTATTCTGAAATATTTAATTCGATATTTAAAAAAAAATTTAAGAACTTGTTGTCAATAATATTATGAAATATTTAAATATAAAAATGTTGACTAAGTCTAATCAATTACCTGTTTTGATCTATTAGAAGAGCTCTTGAAGTCACAATATGAACTGCATTAACCCATTGTGTTGCTGCATATATTCGTAAACCTTCTTCTGTAGGATGTGTCACAGTAACCAAGGTTTCCATAGTGAAGGGATATTGTGTATAGATAGTATGTTCACCTTTTATTACTTTAAAAACATCTCTTCCAGTAGAAGTTGCGTTCACTGTTTCTAGCAGAGTTACTTTAGTGGGATCATGCTTCGCAACCTTGATGTCAAGAACTGGTCTCTTAATATCAGTATAAGTAACATTTACAAGATGGACAGCTTTGTCTGCAATGCTTTGACATTCGGCAACAATAATTCCAAGGGGCTGATTAAAATATTTTACTTCTCCGTTGCACAAAAATTCTTCATCAACTGGGATATATGCAATAGAAGCAGGTATAAAACTATTTCTGCCAGGGATATCTGCTGCTGTGTAAAATGCTATTACTCCCGGTTCTTCCTACAGATAGCTTTTATCTTAGTTAAAATTGATTATAATTTATCCACTATCATTAAAAGCCTTTTGTTGTAATTTGAGTACATATTATTTATTAAAAAATATCAATAAATACTAGTACAACAATACAGTTTTTACCAAATTAAAAGAATAAGAGAAAACTTCGAGTTTTATCATTTCATACGTACCAAAGCGAGACTGGGATCTATATGTGTAATTTTTCCTAGAGCCACTGTTGTCAAAACAAATGCTGCAAATACTTCTCCTGGACATTTTGGAATGTCTTCAGAGTATTTTGCTTCCCCGGCACATTGGATCTTTAAATAGATCCAATCAAATAAATTGCCTGTATTAATACGTAATAAAATAAGTTCACTTACTTACCAAACCTTCAAGTTTTGGGATTGGTTGGTTTAAAGGCCACAAAGTGGGATTTACATCGAATATCTGAGTTCCTTCTGACACTGGTCTCGTCTTATGAATTTTGCCAGCCCCAGATAAATAACGAGGATTTAACTTGTGTGGTGAACATAACGACAATAAACCCTAAAATCAAAATTATATAAAAAAATATAGAGGCCTATTTTGTTCATTGAGTTCTGATGGATACGATAGGTTGTGAAGAATTTAAGTAAACATTTTTGGATTGAGACAAAATACAGATATGGAGAGAACATATTTATTTTTTAAGTATATTATATTAAAATATATAATATTTATTTATATTAAACATCAACAACTCAATTTACAGAAGAGATTAAATAAAGGAAACACATACAAAAGGTAGACGGGTTTTCAATTGGCCATCTCTTCTAGATGGACATAAGTTAGAAAAATATTAATGTGAAATATATAATATGTGAGGTGAAAGGTGGTAAAGTCTAGCTGTGGTCAATTACTACGGCTCGAAATAAGAATTTTTCGATATAAGAAGTTGCAAAAATTATGAAAATGAGTCAAAATGCAGTGGTAAATTAATTATCATCTAAATAAATACTAGCTAAAGTCTTAGATCTCATTAAATTGATTATTATTTATCAACTAAAGTAATTTTATCTATACTTATCGTGTCTAAATTCATTTTTATAAATCTTCATGATTATAAAAAGTGCCTGATGCCATATAATAGCTAGTTAGAAGTAGAAAAAAGGGAATAATGACTACAAAAGACTTTAAAGTAGAAACAATTGTCGAGTAATAGTTTCAACTACATAGTTATGAACAAATTTCTGCCAATCTTATAGAAGAAAATGCCAAAAAGTTATTGTTCATGTGTATTCTTAAAATAAATAGGTTCTTATTCGTTTTTAATGAAGCGCCTGTTATAATAATATTGGAATGTGCATTAACTGATTTTTTTAAAGTTTAGTCGCTAATGAGTTGTACATAAAAATGTATTAATATACATTATACGTGTCAACATTCACACCAGTGCTCTGAGTTTTATCTTTTCAAACTATACCTAAAAGCTTCGCGATTCCAAATATTCAGTAATCATATAGTTATGATACGAACGTTAAAGAAAATAATGATAATATTATGGATACTATGGAAAGCACTAACAGCTTCAGAGAAAATCGATAGCAATTTTATTATAAAATAATATTCTAGGATTAACTGTATTGAAATTAATGTTTCATGATATATTAAGCCCAGATTTGTCTTTGTGTAAACTTATAGAATGTTTTAAAAGTATAGGATTTTACTAGAAATATTCGACCGAAACCACCTTTTGATCTTAATTCGGCTATAAAAGAAACTTTATACGGATTTTTTTTGCGAAGATGACACTAATTTTATTAAACCAAATCAAATGGGGGATACAATTCATTGTCTTAATTTTATGTACATTACCTTATAGAATAGCGCCAGTGCCACTTGACGCTTGTACTGTACTGGTGGATCTGGTAAGCAGTCAACGATCAACAGCTCGGAGTCCAAAACCTTCAAAGCTCCTTGCAACGTTTCATTCTGAAATAGCGATCTGCCAATAAGATACTTTTCAGTTTTCCAAGATCTGGTATACGTTGGTGAAAGTCCTCCGTAAACAATTCTACTATCTAGGACTCTTCCATCCTGATCCACTTTGTAAAGAAATCCCGCATGGACGAGAGCATGAGCGTTTTGCGAACGTGGCGTTATCTGAAATTATATTAATGTAAATTATAATTATTGTTATATCTTAAATACAGATACATTTGATAAAGATACGGTAAGTAAAAATGGAAAGTTCCATTGAAGGTTCCTAATAGCTTACTTTAAAAGTTACTATCTTGTTTTCAGTACTCAACGGTGGAAGTAAAACATTCAGTATTATTTTTCCATTCATATTTTCTTTAAGAAACGATTGCATTGTGATGATTTTTTTTTCAACAGGACCAGTCACTGGAAAAGAAATACATTTACATTAACTGATTATTGAACGGGCTTACATATATTCTAGAGAGGAAGTATTTTAAGTTTTCTTAAATGTGTCTGGTCCATTCGAAAATGTATTGAATGTGAAATTTAAAATGAAATTGTGAAATCTGAATTGATATTATTTCATAACTCTTCTGTCATTTGCTTATTCATAAAATCTACTAATCGATAAATGAATAAAAAATAGTCACAAAAAGAAAGAAGAAAGAAGAAAAATATTAAATATATTCCTGAAAATCCACTCTATTGACCACTATTGTTTTAAGCAAACTGATTTTAAAAATTCGACATGAAACCTGCTATCAGAAAGGTAAGAACTTTAAACAATGAGAAAGTTCACCAAGAAACTTGCAACAATGTCAATAAAAGTTTTCGATATAAATCGATGTAAAATAATATAACATCTTTTTACAAAAACTACTTGGAACATATACAAAAAAAGGAAATATTATTGCAATTTATCAAAATTATTTACATATAGTAAGCTGTGCACCAACAGTCTCGAAAAGTATGAAAATGTCGGATTTAAAGTCGAGGTGAAAATTCTTCAGCATAAGATTACCAGCAACTGTTGCATTCTGAAAATAGAAAATATAATGTTATAGTTTTATTCATAGTTAACAATTAATTTCATTCACATTTTGACATATGTATGTAAAGAATATTCCAACACAATCTTAAGTACCATTTTTTCCATTTTTTTATCTTTACCGACAAAACTCTAGAGTTTTCTTTTATATTCTAATAATTATTTTGTAAGTCCAAGCGTATGAATAAGAAAAATTGTTTCTTTATCTTTTTATTTCCTACTAGAAGACCTGGCGAACTTCGTATCGTCCTATAATCAAGAAATATATATTACGTTTTTTTATTTATATTTTTGGAGTTTACCTGTAAGCCATAAATCTCCGTGTTTTGAAGTGTGACAGAATGATTGACATATTAGTTAGTTGTCAAATCTAATGTCAAAAAAAATGTTTGTATGGGAAATAGAAAAGGGCTGTTTTTATGGTTTTCCCAGTAATGAATCAATTTTTTTCAGCTTTTATACCTTCCCTGAACCTCCACGAACATTTCAAGACTAAGATAAGATAAATCCGTTCAGCTGTTCTCGAGTTTTAGCGAGACTAAGGAACAGCAATCCATTTTTATATATGTATATAGAAGATAACTTAAAAGAATTAAAGATTTATTAATTATTATTTTGGCATAAAAGTACAAGTCACATCTTACATCTTACATTTCTTATAGTAATGTGAGCCACTTCCTCTAAGTGCTCTTTCAACACCAGCAGATATTCAAAGTATTCAGTGTGACCTATTGTATCGAATATATTTATCAGTTCTGTAAGGGTCGTCGCTCCTCCAATCACTAAGTTTTGGTCAATATATTGTTGCCTTAATTCGTTGACATCATTTACATTTATCAATATTCTTGGATACTCCAATATTGGAAAAACGCCTGGAACATTTTGTCAAACAAATGTATTCGAGTCGAAACCTAAGACTTTTATGAAAATACTTAAATAAAACTATATTTTTAGGGTTAACACCGCTTATTGCTTATTAACATTGTACCCAAAGTTTCGATTACTATTTAGCAGTCGTGATTACTATAGGACGAATAAAATACTTTGGTAAAATAAAGAATAATAAACAAATATGGAAGTCTTACTAAAAACAAGCCTATTAATTAGAAAGAAAAATTAATAGCATCCCATTTAAGATCAAACAGATTCAACGTTAGTACAAATAATGATTAAAATGTTAACATTTAGTTGTTATATTTACCTTTCCCTGTATTTCCAGCCACCAGCATATAAGACTCAGTTCCCCATTTATGGAAAATTTCAAATATGTCAGATATACAGGTAGCTTTGAACCAGTCCCTGCCATCATTTAAAACAATGTGCAGTAGTTTTTCATTAAGTTCGTTTTTAGATAGTAAACACCAACCAGATTCATCACAGTCCTTCTTAACACAAGGTCGACAAGACTTTTTACATATTTCTAGATCCTCGATATCTAAAATATTGTCAGCATCTGAAGCGAATTTCTTGAACGCGTCTAAAATGGGTCTGTATCCAGTACACCGGCAGACGTTGCTTCCAAATGACTGTTCTACTTCCAACATGGTCGGTTTTTTATTTTTTACAATACTGAAATCAACAAAGTTATCTCTTTTATAATGTCCGAGATGTGTAATTTAATAAATTGAGTCTTATTCTTGTGTTATTAAAGTTTAATTTCACCTGTACATAGCCATGACCCATCCTGGACTGCAGTAGCCACACTGTGTACCATTGTTCTCAGCCAGTGTCACTTGAATTGGATGGTAGCCTTGCAGACGGTTCCCGATGCCTTCTATCGTTGTTATATCCCACTCGTTGCACGATGTAATAGGTACCATACACTAAAATAAAACAGTTCTGACATAAAACTATCCAATTGAGTACAACTACATATATACAAATACATATATGTGCTAGAAAAAAATCTAAATTAACAAATTATGTTAAGATCTTCAAAATGATTTCATGAAATCATAATATAATTTTGTTTTCTTGTTTGTATCCCCTTTCTGGTTATATAACGTGATTAAAAACTGCCTGTGATCAATTCTCGGACATTATAGTAGTACATTATTAATCAGGCGTTGACAATAGCCTCATTGATAGTTAATTATTAATTATTGGTCTAGATTGATAATGTATCCAATTTATTGCTCGATTATTAGTCATTTATCACTGGTTAATGATTTTACAAAATACCACGCTGGAACTTTTGGATATTTTTTTCTGTTTTTAGATTAAACGACGCAAGTAATCTTTATTTGCCAGCCCAATGATATGAAAAACCTTAAAAATTGTTATTTGGTTCATGTATGAGATGCGGAATTTTGAAGAGATTTTAATATTTGAATAGAACTTGATATCATTATTTTTTAATGTTTGGACAAATATTCACACGGTTTCTTGTGCGTCGACTAAATTGCCACTCGGAATTTTAGAATATCGCTTTTTGTATGACAGTGTTTGTTTTTATTTTAATTAATAGTAGTATGAATTACGTTAGGTGTGTCGTGTTTAATAAATCATAACGAGCAATGTTTACTTCGTACCGTTAGAACGGTAGTATAGAATTATAAAAAAAAAGAAAAAAGTCTCCAAGTATATTAAATTCTACCTGTCCCTTTAAATGCTTTCAAATCAAAACATATTCTCATTTAGTTAGCATTTGTAAAAATAATTAAAGATAAAAATTATGCAAGGAGAAACATTATTATAAGCTTATCATACGAGTAGTGTCTGTAACATCTACTTTTTAATTTATATTGAAAAATATGTATGTTTGAATGGTATATTTTTTTATTAGTTTCAGTACCCACTTGCACCTGAATCACTTTTTATGATTGCTACAAATCCGACATCATTGAATATTTTTACATTAAATTATAATAAAATATCTATTCAGTGATTAGTAATTGGCTCCTGGTTTCATATCCATTTATTGTTTTTTTAACATTATAAGTGCGTAAAAATGCTAATAAATAAATTATAATAATGATATACAGTTTTTTTTATTCGTCTAAAACGATAAAATTTATTGTATAATTACATTGCATATTAATCTAATTAAAAACACGATTACTGAATAAACATTGTTTTATGCAACTGTTATTTTTGGGTCATTAAGTCTAAATTTTATTCTTTTCGACAACAAAGAATAAAAAATTTAATTAAATTTCTTTAACAGGTACAATATTCGCCTAATTGTAAAGTAAAATTCCCACATAAAATTTGGAATCTTCACACAAGTACGAATTAATAATAAAAATTAAATGGACATGGGTTTTATATGAAGAACTTATGTATGTACTTAATAATGAAAAAATTTCTTTGATTTAAAGTATATTCAGGAAGTTTATTTATGTTTTGCGGCGAAAGTTTGGGTATTATAAAAGTTATATTTACATTAATTCACTATGAATAGTTCGTTTATATAAGTCGCAAAGATATAGTATGTATAAACAAAGTCAGAAATCTTTTTTGTTCTCTTTTAGTGTCTAATGGCACGGATTTAAAATATACTTAACGTGAATTTAATATAACAGCATTAATTAAATTATACATATAATATTGATTGGGTATTCACACGAGCATATACATGTAAGCAATATTCGTACCGGTTGAACGGATTCCGTGATATTTCTTTATGTTCTGTTTTATTGATATTTCTCGTATTATCAAATGAAGTACAGTAGGCGGCTGATTGTTAACCAATTATAAATATGACCTTACTGCAGGAAGATAGTAATTATTGTATAAAATCAATTTTCATATAATACATATGAGTATTTTTTAAATATGATATATATTAAATCCTACGAAGACGTAAGTTACATGAGGAGAGCGTCTAGTATAGCGATAAGATTTCTAGATTAGATAACATTTTTGAAGGTTTCTCTCGATTTGTTTTGGATGCCACTATCAGGTCCTGGTCATAAAACCAGACCACGAATCAAATTAAGAAACCTCTATTTTTTTAATACTTTTCAAAACGAACAAAATATATATTTTTAATTATAATCCTGTTGTCTAACAATTTTTTTTATATTTCTTAATTTTAATTCACAATTATTTAAAAAAATGGAACAACTGGGACATTTAAAATAAAAATGTATATTCTAAAAACTTGAGTAACTTATAGCTTCTTGAACTACCGATATAGAGTAGTGCCGATAGCTTTTAGAACATAATTAAATTATAGTAGAATGAAACTCATTAGAAAAGGAGGGGAATATTATAAAAATTAAAGGAAAAAATAATTTACGGGCGATCTGAGGTCGGGAAGGGTACGGGGATGGTTATTTAAGGGTAAAAAAATTGGTTTTATCGATTTCCGGCAATCTACAAAAACTAAAAGTCCTACGGAAAAATGTTATATGGCAAAGTTGTAGGTAAAAAAAAGACCTAAAACTTTTATACTAACATTTTTTTCACATAACCTCAAAATTTATGTGGAAAATTCGAAAAACCCTAGTTTTTGGTTTTTTATTTTTATCTCTTACAAAAAACAATATTTTGCCACGAAATTTGGTGAAGTCTTTTCTTTTGATGTTACAAAAGCACTGTAATTTATTTGATTAGAAATATTTATTTTTTCAGCTTAATTAGACTAAATATCAAAAAACCAGCCTCATTTTCAATCGAAAAGTCATCCGTCAAAATATCAGCTTTTTTCAAAAATTTGGTATGTTTTCAGTTCGTTGAAATTTCTATTTCCGGATGGTGAAAAGAAAAATATAAGTTTCTTTCTTACAGTACCATTTTTGGATAAAATAATCATCTCTCTTTTAATGAAATGACACTCGACATCGTTTTGAAAATGCTCTTTCTAATTTATTTTTAGCAGTTGTGTACTGTGGAAGTTCTTCAGATAATCCCTCTTTTAGTAAATTTACAAAAAATTTACATTAAGCTGCTAAAACTATTAAAAATAAATTGAAAGAGCATTTTCTATTGAAAGACCATTTTGTAGAAGAACTCACCTCGCTACCAACTACAAGTGGTACATGACTAACAATATATTAACTCACAGAGTTGACTCCTTGTGATTCTCCTCCAGGCTGTTTGGTGACGGTGACGATACAAGCGCCACATCCTCCCTCCAGACACATGTACTTGGTACCGCGCAGCTCCAGGTGGTGACGAAGGTAGTCTAACAAGGTCGTAGAAGAACCCACCTCATTACCAACTATAGGTACAAATATCATTAATATATTAAACTGATCACTTAAACATATTTGAAAATATCCACGTATCATTTTTAATTAATTTTTTTATAACTACATACTCATTTATATAATTTTTACCTGAGTATTGGACTCCGTTGACTTGAAAGTGAACTCTATCCATGACTGTTGTATTGTTAAATCTCGACAGAACAGTGTGTTGTGGATGTAAATATATCCTTCACTAAGTTAGGCAATATATGTAGAAAGTTAATTGTGGCTCTGAAAAACTAAAATATTAACAGTTACATACTTATCAATTTTAATATTTTCTAGAGTATTAAATATTAAAATGAAGCAATGTTATCTATGTCATTATTAAAAATATCTATTTTTCACTTGAATTTTTAATGACATTGTTTAGTTATTAACGAACATTATGGTAAATATGTTATTTCTTTTTATAATCAAACTTGGTATATATGTATATCTGAAATCGAATATAGTAACAATTCTTACTATGGTAATCAAAATTTATTATTCTACTTCCACGTCTCAAAGTGTTAATAAATATATTAAAGGAAAATATATATTTATTTCAATTTACCAATCGTCCTGATGTTAAAGACAAGATAAAGATATCTTAGTAGTCTGGGATTCCCTGAGACACATACGATCTACGATGATTATGACGACAACTGTGACACATAATAAAATGTATGAAACATAAACTGAAATCTCTTCAGTTACAGAGTTATCAGTTCTTCATTTTGTGGTTTAAGATATTTATTCTTATAAATACATTATTATCACTTACATGAAAATTACACTTATAACAAAAACATTTATGAATATATAGTTCCACATCGCACTTGTAACAAAAATGAAATGAAATAACGCTTAACTAAGAGACATTTTTCTATATTAAGTACTAATTTAACGTATTGTATTAGTTTTAATTATTTATTATTTAAAATATACTCAGCGAGTTCTTTTTTAAATATGTTAAATGAATTTACATTTTTTATAGCTGTAGGTAGTTTCTTGATTGCCGTTTGACACTTGTTTCTTGAACGTTATATTAGTATGGATACTCCTATTTAGTGTTTTTCAAAGAATATTGCAAACTTTGTATACATAAAGGTTTTTTATGTTCATTATTTGCGTTTCATCGTATATTTTTTTTGTATTTGTTAGATAATGGTATATAAAAAGTAGTTTGATTAATTTTTTTTGTAAGACCTGCAATTGATTTATATTGCTTTTTGTCGAACTACTCCAGACCTCAATCAAGTAAGATATACATATTATTATGTGGTTTCACTAATGCATTATATATTGTATGCTGTAACTTACTAGGTACAAACCAGTAAGACTTACTTTTCTTTCTATGTGACTGATATGGTGTTTCCAAGTCAAATATGTGTCCATGTATAGGCCAAGGTATTTTTCATAAGTTTTTTCTGTAATGGAATATAAACAATTGTAAGCGACGCGTGTGGTGGTATTGGTTTATTTTTTTCTTTAAATAATACAAAGCAAGTTTTGGAAATATTAATTGTCAGCAGGTTAATTTGAAATTTTAAAAAGAATGTTTAAATTTATATTTATTTGGTTAGGTAGAGAGAGGACAGTGGTGGTGAGCGTTTAACGCGCGGTAGATAGGGGTCGCTTAAACCTACACCTGGGTTGCAAGTCCCAGGCAATGTTGAAGCTCCTCTCCTTGCAACGCGATGGACCCGGCACTCGCATGGTGAATCCATTGGATGCTAAGAGGTTTCGTCTCCAGTCATCTTTCTATGCGGCCTTTGATAATGATAATTTCTTTGCTTAAAGACGTCTCTGTAAACATATTATATTCCTCAAAACACATGTAATTCACTGATGACGCTTGAAATACATAATTCGTTTAATTTTATTTGTTTTTTGATGTGTGTATAAGCTTACACATTACTTTGGTTTCTTGACGTGATCTAATTATTTGTTTTCAATTTAAATTCTACTTAATTATTAAAAAAACTTAACAAAAATTAAGCATAAAACAATTTTTTTTTATTTGACCATAGATGAAAGTCTTTAAAATATTTTGTGTGTCATCAGGCTATTAGAGCCCACTGCTGAGAAAAGGCCTCTTCTCACATGGAGGAGGTTTGAGCATTAATCACTTCGCTTGCTCAATATCGTTTGGTGATTTCAAATTTATAATTATGAAATTATAAGTCCAGGTTTCCTCACGATGTTTTCCTTCACCGTCTGTTAGTGGTGTCTAAATACTCTCAGAAAGTACGTATGACTCGGTAAAACCACATTGGTACTTGCAAGGATCGATACCGCACCCCCATGTATGAGAGGCGGGACTTTTAACCACTGGGCCACAACTATTCCATAAAATATTTTACCATACTTAATTATTTTTAGTCGGCGCTTAGCAACAAAATTAATTAACTAAGTAAAGAGTGATGTTTTTCGGTGGTAACTCTATGAAAAATTTTCAATCAAAAAATTAACAAGAATATTGTGTTATCTAAGCAACGTCCTAACCGGGTATACAGCAGTACAAGTGTTATCTTTTATATTTATTGATTGAATGTTTTGATTTTGACTTAAAACTATTGTACATATGTAATGGTTATGTTTATAGAACTTTAGAATACGGAAGTGATCAATAAATCAAATCTTTGTTTTCCTACCCTTTGTTTGAATTTTCTAAATTAACTAGTATACGCCTTCCAATTAAGAAAGGATATATAGGTGTTTGTAAACAGCACTGTGGGATGATATGAGTAGTTATTTTTAATAAAAACATATATATCGGCGCTACCAGCTTTAATAACGGATGCGACCTGAAAATAATTTGAGGCTGTCATCAATTCTTATTAAACCTGATTAGTATTTATGATTATTGTTAAAAGTAAAACGAAATCAAAGATTGTTTAAAAGGAGAATAGAACTATGTTTAAATGTTGGTATAAATATGACGTCTAGACGCACGACGGCAGAATAGAGACTTCAGAATTGAAAATTCAGAGTTCAGTGGGTGTGTATCATTGAAATATGTGATTATTTAGAACCTTCGAGAAATACAGTTTGAAGTTTCATTTTTAAATATCATAGAACGTTCTACAAGAAGTGACATTAATAACGTCAGCGAGGCTGGCGTCTCTCTCTCTCTCTTTTAAAACAACGAATTTGTAATAAATCCGATATGTAGATTAAATGGAAATATTAATTTTCTCGTTTAAAGGGAAATATACCTACCTGTCTTTTGATTATTTTAATATATAAGTCTATTAAGCACACTGATAACGAGTTTAATACTTACAAAATACTAACCTTCAAGTATCAATTAGTTACGAAATAGATATCTGAGTAAATAAATTTATTGAATTATTAATTGCAATTGACTGAATCTGTGTAAGTATACTCGTAGGTGATGTAACTATTGTTCAAGGTACAGTTTCAGATTTATTCTGCAATGTTCAGCGTAACTTCCAGTAATGACTTACAAAATAACTGAAGCCAGTATTTATAGGTTCAAATACAGGTTGATACTTAATTGTTGTCATTACCATATTACGATGGTTCAGTATTATGATTAAATAAAAAATAAATATATGGATTATATTATATTATAATTACTACAGCTCGGATGGCGTCACTTGTAATGTTTTTTTTTTATCAGAAAAGTCTAAACTAAGTAATTATACACAAGAAAGTTTTCTTTAATTGGTCTCTTAATGTTACTGTTTTAATTTATATGAGTATTTCTTTAAAATATTAGTTTTTTTCCTACTAAAAGAAACAAAAGGTCAAATAAAACAAAAATCCTTTATTTACTTTCCATGTGATTTCTAGATAAAGATGATCTTATACAAGTCTAACAGTTTTCTATAAATTTTAGTTATAACAAAATAAATAACTAATTTTTATGTCAACTATTTAAAATTATATTTCTCAGCTTACACATAAACTTAAAGCGTTGTTTATTATTCATGAATATGGGTTATATATATTACAATGTAAAGAAGATAAATAAAGATCGAATAATAAAAGACTTATGTCTATAATATCATACATAATTTAGTACATTTTAATAAAACTTGAAGTCTGTTGGTCTTGTCATGCTTGCAAGACATATTTTGTCAATCGTAAAAGCGCCATCTAAAACAATGTCAATAAGGAATCATTTACAATTTTTATGTTGAAAAAAGGACTTTAATAAATAATTTACCCATTTGGAACCATTCAGTTGTAGGTATTCCAGCCTCTAGTCGCGCAGACGCTATGGCTGCTCTCAAAGCAAATGGTATAACTATTGCCATACACGTTGCTGGTTCTCCAGTGGCTAAAATACGAAAAGTATAATAAGAAAACAAATAAAAATTATATTATTATATAAAAACTATCGGGTTCTTATTTTGAGTTAATACTTCCAGTATACAACCTTTGGCTCCCAAGATAGCCTTATCGCTAAACGATCTTTTTCTGAAGTATATCCTGAAATCTTGCGGTATATCTCTTGCTCCGGGTACCCAATAATTCCAAGTACGATTTGTCAGAACTTCGCCTCGGTCCGAGTACACAATATTTTCCATAGTCCAGTAACCGAGGCCCATTGTGAATGCACCCTCCACCTAATTTGTTTAGAATTATTGTTTAATATTGTTACAGAAATGTATGTATTTTATTTTATTTTAATATATATTAAATATCACAAATATATTTAACTTTTATAGTATAATGTCGTTGCAAGAATACAGATTGAACATGGCCTGACTTGATCAGGGAACTACCACCTCCTCATAGAAGGTCGGTTGCGAAGATTTTAATGGTTGTGTTGCTTTTCCTTTCCCATTTCCACGATCAAGATCTGCAACTTTTCGTATATTGCAGATGTCCATGGGCGACGGTAACTAGCTTCCATCAGGTAGGCCGTCTGCTTTTTTTCAATCTTTCCAATTAATAAAAAAAATCTTACCTGACCAATATCAATATTTGGATTAATACTTCTTCCAGCATCTTCAATTAAATCGACTCTTAAAATTTCCCATTCTCCTGTTAGCACGTCTATCTCAACTTCAGCCACTGTGATGCCATAAATATCATATGTTATTGAATCTTCTGGACTGACAAAACTATGCACTTGTAAGTCTACATTCATAGAAAATGCTTTTTGGATAAGTTCTACCCAGGAGGGATTATTTAATTGTCTTCTTGCTGGTTCTAATCGTCTTAATAGTTCTTCACAACACTTTCGCACACCTATTCCAACGTTTTGAGTAGTTACACTTGAATCTGATCCTTTATTATTAGGTGTTGATATAGTTGTGCTAGGTTTTATTTGTATTTTTTCTATGGGTATGTTAAGAAAGAAAGCACATATTTGAGTGGCAATCGTATTAATGCCTTGACCCATCTCAATTCCACCGTGTGTTATAGAAACAGTTCCATCATCTGAGTAAACGCTCATGTAAACATGAAAATACTTCGGGGCAGATGCTTCAAATCTAAGAAACGAAACTTTAAGGCCTCGTTTTTTCCAACGATTTTCAGAATTAAATTTGCTTACTTGTATTTTTCTTCCGTAATAATTGGAATTTAATTTAATTTTTTCGATCATCTCTAACATTTCACTATATTTTTCTGTATCTAAATTTGAAAGACGGACATCAAATGAATCTAATTCCATTTCATAGGCGATTCTTTCCATAATAATTTCAGCCATTGCCACGTGTTCTAAACTACCTGAGACCAATTGTTAATGTTTAAAGAATGAAAAATTCAAAACAATTAATTTATGTTACCATTTTAAAATAGGAGTACATGAATTTCGTTTTTCAGGAGTTTATACATATGTGCTTTTGTATGATGGACATACGTTTTTTTGTTTATGAGGATGACATAATACATACATAGTTGTGAAGAAAATAAATACAGGGTGACTTGTGAATTACTATCGATACTTGAGGACGTGATATTTGACGATCATATATGACAAAATAAAAATTAATATAACATAAATATTAATAAACTTCTAAGTAAAGTTAACCAAAAGTTATGTAATTAATTACGCATCGTGTGAACACCCTACAGATTATTTATACACACACACACACACACACACACGCGTGCGGCGGCGTGGTGTTGTATCAGCACGCCGCCGCACGCGTCCACACTTGGAACACTTGGAACGTGTCCACACTTTATTTATTTACTAGCTTTCCGCCCGCAGCTTCGCCGCGTGGAGTTCGGTTATATCGCGTTTCCAAGAGAACCTTTCAAAAGTCTGGGATAAAAACTATCCTATGTTCTTTCTCAAGGTCAACTCTATCTCTGTACCGAATTTCATTAAAATCAGTTCAGTGGTTTAGGCGTGAAAGCGTAGCAGACAGACAGACAGACAGACAGAGTTACTTTCGCATTTATAATATTATAGTAGGGATACGGAAATTTGGTCAAAAATTAAGTACCTATTTTTTTTACATAATTCGAATGAGAATCATGTACAGAGTATTCTCCTTAAATATTGATAGTAATTCACCAGTCACCCTGTATATGTATTATTCTCAACTTAAAGACAAAGAAAAAATAGGATTCATATTACCTGGAGCTCGTACCCAACTATGGGATGTTGTATCTGTGATAACGTCGAATGAAGTATACTTCCACGGTTCACTTCTATAAGTATTGTTATAGAGGTTAAGACCTGCCAATAAAAGTCTTTCGTTGGCAATACATCCATTATCACTATATAAATCGTAATCAAGAAATTGTATAACGCCTACGTTGGATACACCAATCTAAAAGAAACAAACTGTTAAACTATAAAATACCAAAAGGCATACATTTAATAAAGCAATATTTATAGAATATTTTTAAAATTACCGAATAATTACAAGAGCATGGTGCTCTTTTACCAGTGGACCTCATGTTATTTTGTAAAGATTGTACAAAACGACAGGGTCGATTTAGTTTGAGGGACACTAGACTACTAGCCAGTGACACTTGTGTAGATCTAGATAATTTGTAACCATAAGCACCTCCCAGACGACGAACTTGTACATCGATTCTGAAATATTTTTTCATTATTTTCACTGATTATCTTATATAATCTTTTATTACATAGTTTTTTGCACTTATATACCTATTTTCATCGATTAATAACGCTCTAGACGTCACTACTTGAACGGCATCCATCCATTGCGTTGTAGTGTATATTTGTAAACCTTCTTCCGTCTTATGTGTGATTCCGACTAATGTCTCAATCGTAAATGGGTATTGAGTATAAATTGTTTGTTCTCCTTCTATCACCTTAGCTATATTATTTCCCCTAGAAGTGGGATCTTTTGAACTATAAATATTTATTCTATTGTATATACGTTTAGCCACAGCGACATCTGTTATTGGTTTTTTTAAATTAGCATACGTAACCCTAACTAAAGAAACAGCTTTGTTCAGGATGTTTTGATTTTTGGCAACAATAATACCAAGAGGTTGGTTAAAATATTTTACTTTTCCGTCACATAAAAATTCCTCATCTGACCTATTAATTTCATCTACAGCTGGTACAAAACTGTTCCTCCCTGGAATATCAGCTGCTGTATAGAATGCAATCACATCAGGTTCAGCCTTAAATGTTGTAGAAAAAATATCTCATTAATTTCTTCTACTGAATAATTTATAATACAAGATAAAAACAAACTTACTAAAGCTTTACTGGCATCGATATGAGTGATGGTACCTACTGCAACTGTTGTTAATACAAATGCTGCATACACTTCTCCTGGAAGCATTTGTAAATCCTCTGTATATTTAGTTTCACCCGCACACTGAATCTACAAACATATGATCAAATCAATAGATATGAAGTATCTATATTACAGGAAAAAAGGATGTATAAATTGAAACAAAATTATATTTTAGACACAAAAAAAATATCAGGATAATTCTGTTTTATTCATAAAAACCATTTTTTTCTCATCCCCAATCAATAGACTAACAAAAAACATTTCTGAATAGGAGCAAGTGTGAGTAGCTTTTAAAAAAAGCTTGTTTTACTGTTAAAACATGAATTTATGAACCCAGTAGTTTTATTGTGTTCACTTACCACCGCTTCAGTCTTTGGGATTGGTTTATTGAGTGGCCAAAGAGAAGGATCCGATTCAAAATATTGTCTACCCTGAGAAATCGGTCTTGTCTCGTGAATTTTAATGGCGCCAGAAATATAACGAGGATTTATTTGGTGACGAGGACATAGTGAAAGTAGACCCTTAAATTATTATATACTATAAATGATGCCATTGTTTTTAATACATTTTCATATAATTATCAAATTTGTAACTTAAAGTTTAATTAAAAATTTAGTGACTTTTATATTTTTTAACTAAAAAATACTTAAATTATTTTACCTTATAAAACAAAGCCAGAGCTACTTGTCGTCTATAAGACGCTGGTGGATCTGGTAAACTCTCTGTTACTATCATTTCTGCATTCAATATTTTTAAGGCGCTTTGCAGAGTTTCGTTCTTGAATAATAATTTTCCAATCAGATATCTTTCAGTGTTCCAAGATCTAGTATAGAACGGTGAGAGTCCTCCGTACACTATTCTACACTCTTTGACTCTCAAATTGTGATCAATTTTGTAAAGAAAACCAGCGTGAACAAAAGCATGGGCGTTTTGGGATCGTGGCATTATCTGAAATAAATGAATGTTAGAGATTTCCGTTATTATTTTAAATATTACAATTCTGAAACGATTCATGACTTACTTTGAACGATTCGATTTTATTTTCTTCATTCAGTGGTGGTAACAAAATGTTCAATATTATTTTACCGGTCATATTTTCTTTAAGGAACGCCTGCATAGTAATAATTTTTCTTCTATTTTTACTTGTCTCTGTAAACAATGTAAAAAATTCTTCAAAGGGATATTGAGTCATGAAAGATACATTAAGTAAACAAGTTTTTAAATACTAAATTGTATGTTTGATAATATTCAAATAAAATTATTAGTTTGAACATATATAGAGGCTTGGAAAGAGTTAGTTTTAGTTGTCTTGACTTTTTAGACTTTTTTGAAGTCATATTACAGGGGGGAATAACCCAGGATCTCATACAAAAACCTTTTCCTTTAATTTGACAATACTTAAAGTTGTAGTAGTAACGTGTTAGGCGAAAATGTGCTCAAAAAAGATGCTAAGGTAAAAAGTTTATTGAAATGTGATTCCAATTTTTAGGCATATTTTAATTTTCTTTATTTTTTTTGTCCAGCACACTTAATGATATAAGCATATAATCAGTAAGGTTTAATTGGTTATAATCAGTAAGGTTCAATGTAAATTTATCCGCCATATTTTAGAGCCGAGGTAATCGTAAAACCTCTCATTTAGATAAAAGTAAATGGACAGAAATATTTCCAAGTATAATATATATTATATTTTGTTGAAAGCGTTTGACTGTTAAATAATTAAAATCCTTAGAAATGATTCATCCCACTTATATAAAGTTAGAAGTCAAACTTATTAAAACCACAAAACTCAAAAGTATATAAATAAGGTTAAAGGTTCCTGACACGCCAATCACCGTTTCGGATAATTTAACTTTGAACCATAAACGGTTTTCATAAATCAAAGTCATCGAGTAAAATTTAAGTTAAACTTCCTTGGATATTTTGTTCGACAATTGTCAGGTTTACAGGTGAGCTCCTTTTTAACTTTTACTGATATTTGAAGTAATGTCTCGCAAGATATTAAAAAAATAATAAAGGAAGGAATCTTGTAAATTCTTCAACTTTATTTATAAAACAAGGATTCCTAGAAGCCTGAAGGACAGCGTATTTGTCCAATCGATATTTGATATGAAAATGCTTTTTTAAAATAAAACTTATTCACGGTGAAGTCATAGTCATTTCAGTAAAAATGAAAATATTAGAATCTATAAAAAGCTTGCAAAATCCTATTTGATATCTGAAATATCAATTTTCTGAAAAATATTGCGACTTGACTTAATACCTCCATATTTAGCTTTTGCAAAAATATCACTCACTCATTACAAGTTTAGCACAAGTCTTAAGAATGTGAGCAACTACATATTTCCAAGAATTAAGTTTTAATATTTCTCGTCTTATGGTTTTTTTTTAATTAGCTCTTACATAATATTCACTAGGCCTATTTTTCTATTTATCATACATTTCGGATTGTTTTAATAAATATATATTTAGGGTTAAAATGCAAGCAACAATTAAATTTATTGTTTACAAATGACTATGTCATAAATAGATGTTTTATGATTGAGATGCGCTTTTAAATGTTTATAGTCACTGCTGCTACCGTCAATAATATTTAAATTTTCAGAGACTTTTTGTTAAAGAAAAATATAAAATTTAAAACAGTTCAGATACTTAGTCATCACGGTATAATTGGCAATTAAAAAGCAGTCACGAAAGAAACAAAGGTATATCTAAAAATGAAATCGCTGGCTCTAAAGCTAATACAACAGAATTGAGTAATTTTTCATGTGCAAAATAAAAACAAGTTGGAATATTTACTGCAAAACAGATAACTGCGAAACTAATTAGTATCAAACACAGTGTCTTTGAACACTCCTTTTTTTTTCGCTTCTTGTAGAAAGGATCAACTAGCAGAAACGTGATTGAGTATCTATACTAATATTATAAAGCTGAAGAGTTTGTTTGTTTGTTTGTTTGTTTGTTTGTTTGAAAGCGCTAATCTCCGAAACTACTGGTTCGAATTGAATAATTCCTTTTGTGTTGGATAGTCCAGATATCGAGGAAGGCTGTGGGCTATATAGCATCACGCTACAACCAATAGGAGCAAAGATATAGTTGTAAATGTGTAAAAAACGGGAAAAATTATTTCATCTTTGAAGCCTTCCATTGCGTGCGCCTTGAAAACGGTTCAAGATACACAAAAAATATGTATTAAAGAATAATATCTCTTTTAATGATCTAAAAACAGTTCGCGAGTATATGTCTATCTTTTACAATTAACTCACAAAAACCGTTTTTATGGTACCTAATTTGGTCGAAATAATTTGTTTAAGTTGTATCAACATAATAATATTAATCATTATTCAAATAAACAAATAAATATGTTGTTGGTTAAGAGTACTTCATTGTGAATACAAAAAAAACATAGGTTTTATCCTGAAAATTCTACGGGAACGCAACCATTCCGAAAACCCCGAAAGAACGGGAACTATGTGGGAAGAACCAAAAATCTGCCGGAAGTCACTATTCCAGGCGGACGAAGTCGCGGCAAAAGCTAGTTTGACATAAAATATGACACATTAATTTCAGTTAAATAGATAATAGAAATAAATGTAAATATGGCTTAGATTTAAAGGTGTTCTGTTATTTAGAAATGATAAACCCATATGCGATGTATGTACGTTCTAATTTGAAAGATTTTCTTAATAGTGTTAATGGATATAAAAGTTGGTTAATATTTTTGATGATTGTCAATCTCTATAAATAAATTTAAAGTATGTATTAATTTGGTTCTCAATGGCTTTTGAAGCTTAAAACTATTTTAAATAAATAAATAATATGAAACCTTCTTACATTAAAAACTATTGAGTTTTCAGATGATTACGTTTCTTAGTACTTCTTAACGGTTTAAGTAGCCCTAATTAAAAAATGGTCTACATGTACGAGATATTACTTTTATTGTCTTCTTATTATTTTAAAGATTACCTTAAATTCTTTTTTTACCTATTACCTTTATACTATGATTACCTCTAGTGAATTGAAAATACTTACGTAACGTTAACTGGGCTCCGACAGTTTCGAAAAGGAGGAAAATATCCGATTTAAAATCAGGATGAAGATTTTTTAGCATAAGATTACCAGCGACTGTAGCAGACTGTAATAAATGAAAAATAATTGAAATTTTATTTTTTTCCATATTAAGTTATTATCAATCACTCAACCATTTTATTCTATTATATTTATAAAATTATAACCACGTGTTTTTTAATTTAGTTCCAAAGCTATTGTGATATATATATATATATATATATATATATATATATATATATATATATAAATGACAAAGTTTGAAATCAGACATTACGTTCCGTTTAAAACTAAAATAACTTTGTTTTGAATAATGTTTGCAGTTTTAACCTTTATTCCAACTTACATTTTTTATAGCAATATGTGCGACTTGTTTAATATGTTCATTCAATATTCTAAGATACGAGAAGTTTTGTATGGGGGATAAATTTTCAAATAATGTAGACATTTCAGTAAGGGTTGTGGCTCCACCGATTACTAAGTTCTGGTCGATATAGTGTTGTCTCAGCTCTTTAACTTCATTTATATTGATTAATACTCTTGGATATTCCAATATAGGATAAACTCCTAAAACATAGTAATAACATTTTAATTACATTAAAATTCAGAATTTTTATCTGTATAATATAATCTTTATGATTTAAAATTACCTTTTCCTGTATTACCAGCCAAAAACATATAAGATTTTGTTCCTTTTTTATCAAATACTTCAAATATGTCGGATATAGACGTAGGTTTATACCAATCTCTACCATCATTTAACACTATATGAAGCATCTCGTTACTAACTTCCTCTTTAGATACAAAGCACCATTCAGATTCGTCACAACTGTTCTTTGAACAAGGTCGACCTGACTTTCTACATATTTCTAGATCCTCGATATCTGAAATATTGTCAGCATCTGAAGCGAATTTCTTGAACGCGTCTAAGATGGGCCTGTATCCAGTACATCGGCAGATGTTGCTTCCAAATGACTGTTCTACTTCCAGCATTGTTGGTTTTTTATTCTTTAGAATACTGAAAAGGAACAAAGTTATCTGTTTTATATTGACTGATCTGTGTCATATAATAAATTGAGTCTTATTCTTGTGTTTATTAAAGTTTAATTTCACCTGTACATAGCCATGACCCATCCTGGACTGCAGTATCCACATTGTGAACCATTATTCTCCGCCAGTGCTACTTGCAGTGGATGGTAACCTTTCAAACGACCACCAATCCCCTCTATTGTAGTTACATCCCAATTGTCACATGATGTTATTGGTACCATACACTAAAACATTTCAAATATATACATATAGAAAACATTAACTTTCGTAAAAATTATTACACACATAATTTTAAGGCTTTTAAGTTAGATATCATTATATTGTATAAGGGGTGAGCTTTAAATACTTGTAAAATTAATCCTAAGAAGCAAATTGTTGAATATTTGTACCCTTTTTTGTAAGAGTTTTAGAATAACATTAAATACGAAAATATGAATGTACATAAAAAATAAAAGATAATAATCGTTAAGGCAGAATAATAAAATATAATATATGGATATATATAGATAAACGACGGAAATAATACTATTATTTGTTAAAAAAATTATAAATTTGAGCTTAATATGAAACATTAATTTAAAAAAATCTAATATTATTACTATACAGGGTGACTGGTGAATTACTATCGATATTTGAGGACGTGATATTTGACGATCATATATGACAAAATAAAAATTAATATTACATAAATATTAATAAACTTCTAAGTAAAGTTAACCAAAAGTTATGTAATTAATTACGCATCGTATGAACACCCTACAGATTAGGTATACACACAAACTCACACAGACGCGGCGGCGGCGTAGTGTTGTATCAGCACGCCGCCGCACGCGTCCACACTAGGAACACTTGGAACGTGTACACACTTTATTTATTTATACGGAAATTTGGTAAAAAATTAAGTACCTATTTTTTTTACATAATTCGAATGAGAATCATGTACCGAGTATGCTCCTTAAATATTGATAGTAATTCACCAGTCATCCTGTATAAGGATATGAAATTAAATTATTAACTCACAGAGTTGACTCCTTGTGATTCTCCTCCAGGCTGTTTGACTACATTCACGATACAGGCGCCACATCCTCCCTCCAGACACATGTACTTGGTACCGCGGAGCTCCAGGTGGTGACGAAGGTAGTCCAACAAGGTCGTAGAAGAGCCCACCTCACTGCCCACTTTAACAAAGCATCATCTAGACAGGTGGTGGCAAGCCAAGTTCAAGCAAAGTAACTAGCTAACGTAAAACTTCTTGAAGATAAATACATTAAACTACGTCTATTTAATTATATTCATTAAAACATATAGAAGCCTAAATTCGACTAAGCTAGCCAGCCATCAATTTAGCACTATAGTACTATCTAACCTACTTCCAGATGACCTAGAAAGATGAAATTTGGAATCTATTGCGATAATTGTGTATAAGTATAAATAAATAAATAAAAAAAGTCTTAAAATAAGTGGCATTCAATATCCAATAAGTGGTAACAACCAGTTATCGCCGCCCTAGCCAATCAGCGTCACCCTCTAACGAATGGTACAAAATTATAAGCTTTAGCGATTTGGTTAAAATTTTGCGGGATAGTTGGTTTATATCTGCATGGCAGTGATTTTATGGTCCACGGCTCACTAACATAACAAAGATCAGTGTCCAACGTTAGTTCCTCTGATTTGATTTGAAAATAAAAAATATTAGTCAATTTTCAGATAATCAACAAATGACAAACCAACATTAGAGAGCTACAAACTAATGAGGAATATACAAAAAAAGGAATTATTTATATCTGGAGTACTCTGGCTATAACTCAAATAAATTTAGTCGAACGACCTAGCATAAAATCCAATCTAATAGGTAGGTTTCGCTAAACAACCTATTATGACGAGAACACTGCATACTTTAGGTCGTATAGCGCTTGTGAGCCGCGGCAACGGGCGTTTAATTGTACCTCGCTTGTCCCTGCGTACAAGTGCAAAGCGCGAACGAATTCAACCAGTGTTCTTAAATTACTCAATTTATACATTAATTAGTGAAAATAAGACATCACTAATGCCTTGATCTTGCTATACATCTACAAAGAACTTTTTTTTAAGGCGCAAATAGTTCAAACTAACAAATTCGTACTTTAACTACTGTTGTAAGTTTTTGGCAAAATAAAATTAAAATTGGCCACGTCAAATCTAGACTACACTAAATATTCACATTTCTTAATAACAGCAGTTTTTATAACTTATAGGTATCCAATAAAGCAAAAAACTAGAGGTTAATTCTTGTTCATAATGTAATTTTGTTTTTATAAATACATATTTCGACTTTGCGTCGAACTTAGCCTTACTTAATAATAACTTTAGTATAGTTAGATAGTTAGTTTTCAAGTAACAGGTACTCATTTAGATCTTGGACCTATTAAAACTAATGATCAAGGGCGTCTGTGAAATAATATGTTATTATTACTATTGCTGGTTTAATTCTACTCTAGCTACCAACCAGTTACAGGGCATATGGAAAACTGGAGAGCAAGAAAAGATTTGATAAAGGTTTAAAGACAAAAAAATTAAGAATTTTATGGTATGTGAGAATAAATATGATTTTAGAGGCTACAAATGTACAATTTAATTAAAATCAAAATAAGAATTTTGATAGCTAAACCAATTAGTCTACGCGATCTTTGTAAATATATAAATTACTAGCTGCCCGGCGGACTTCGTACCGCCCTATAATGAAGAAATATCTGTTGCGTTTTTATCTGAATGAAGTTAATTTCCTTATTCCTCTGAATGGAGTTTTGCCTGGTTCAACCTGAAAAACATTAATCACTCAGTGTCCATTTTTACATACATATCAACAGCATATTGGTGACAGAGACGCTAACATATTAAGATGTGATTGACCTCAACTTCTCCAACCATAAGCCTGTATGAATAATAATTCATTGAATTAACTTTTTTGTTAGTTTCAGAACCTAAAAACATTTTTTTGTGATTTTATATAAATTACTTAAAGCTATGATTAATATTAAAAACTTAAATTTTTTATTTACCTGTAACTGTATTTATCATCTTCATTAAAAATAATACCCATCTTCACCTTTCCAAAATAAGATAAAATATATTTATATATGTTTGATGTGTTTCGGACACACGCTGCAGTTGATTGTTACACCGGTGCAAAACAATATTGCAGTTATCCACATTTTCACCCACAATGACAATAGCGACTTCATACATTCTTCGAGCATTAAAATGTCTTATGTGTTTGATAACAATTTTGTGATTATCAGATGGCATTTGATCTAATGCGGTCTTGAATAATGCAACCAATGTGTTGTGTCGATGGAATAATAAATGGATCTGTTCCACAACTGACCTTTTCACGGAATAGTTGTCTGTACAACGCTGATCAACTTGTCTTCCTGAATCGCCCATGAAATTAATTTGGAAAAAATTTTAGTCACTGACCGGCACTGATGATAACTAATAAGTTCAATGATACATTTGTCCTTGAATCTGAAAAGGTAAACATTCCTGTATTACATATACATATTGTAAAGTGAATTGTTCAAACCACCAAGTGACACTCAAAATACTTTGTGAGCACTACAATTTCCCCCATCAAATTTTTTAGCACAATTCCTTCTGGCTACTAAAAGTTATTCACAGAGCTACAAATGTACTTTAAGCCATTTGAAATTATACACATTTACAATTGAAAACTGTCAACAATAGTGGTAAATGTTTTTCAATACACTTACCTTAAAAGTTGGCATAAAATTTATTGTACTCTAGTCCATTTCTTTGTTATAATCAAATGCAGCTCTATAGGGGTTAAAAGCAACACTTCTATATTGTTGGTTTCGGTTCCATCGATTCCGTTTAACTTCATTCCGCGTTTCACGTTGCTCATCAGTTTGACTTGCTATTCTATTTCTTTGACTTGAGGCATTACGGGTTCTGCGATTTAAGTTTGTACGTCTTATTGCCGGCATGTTTTGATACAAAAATTCAACTGAAAATGAAAAATACTATTATTCTATTCTTTTGTAATAGTATCAAAACTTTCCAACACTATAATAATTTGACTTACCTTGTTGAACAAACACTTCAGAAAAAAATAAACAGTACAAATTATCCTGTAGAAACCAATGTGAAAATTACACTAAGAAATGGTAAATGAATTATGTAGGTATTTTTTTATAATAACTCCGGCCACAAATAGTCAAACTGAATATTATGTACTCGTACAAAACCACACAAAAAAAAACAATTTACTGTTTGCAAACAATTTGAAAGAATAACTGAACTTTTAAGACAGAGACAATATTTTATCATAGACTAATATAGTCACACAAACGTCAAGCTCAGCTTATGTATCGCGCATTTAAAAGTAAGTAATGTTAATCATGTAAAGCATAATTATTAACAAAAAAATCAGTTCTATTTTCATTGTAGTGCTTTGTGATAAACGATGTTTTTTGTTTAATTACCTGGCGCATAGACAAACAAATCTGATGGTTATTATTATATTTTGTGACTATATTATATTATTATATTCAATTGGTCGGGACCGCGATCAAATTTTTTTAGTTTCTGAACGCGACATTAAATCCTCCGAATTATTCTGTGCTTCAACGCACACAGGCACACTGTTTTGATAGATATGATTGAATTTGAACTTTGTGTAGCTGTAAGAAAGTGTAAATTTACTTGTTGACGTTTAGAACATACCTGCGTTTCTTAGATAACAGTGAGTGCTTGTAATTGAATATGAACTTTATTTCATAGCAATAAAGCTTAAATTGATTCTACGTTTTAGTTATAAAACGTTTATATGTGAAAAAGAAAAGGGTTGTTTTTAGGGTTTTCCCGTCAATTATTCGATTTTTTCTCGCCGTAAGAACCATCCTTGGACTTCAACGAACATTTTAAAAAAAAGAATTGGCCAAATTGGTCCAGGCGTTGTTGAGTTATGCGCTTACCAACACATTTTGCGATTCATTTTTATATTATAGAAGAAACGTATAAAATATATTAATGTTATGCAAATGCCAATAAAAATTGACTATTCCGATTGATGACTTAAAAGAAAATGAATTACTTTATTTACATTTATCTGAAGTAAATTAATAGGAAAAGTCCAAAAATTTTATTCAAACCACTCCCGAAAATGCTTTCATATAATGCCTCAAAAACCGTAATTTTGAAAGTTCTTAACAATTTAATATTAATGGTGAATAGTAATTTTAATAATTTTTTATCTTAATATGTACATATATAGACGCAACCAAACAAGTTATTATAAAACAATGGAGAAATATATACATATATCTATCTATACATATAATAAAATTGTAAAATGTGCTGTCTGTACATTGAAAATAAAAAAAATAGCAGGGGTTATTGTTATGTCGATGTCGAACCCAAAAATGTAATTAACTTTTTTTGTCTGTTTGTATGTTCACGCTAATCTCAGAAACGGCTGATCCGAGTTGGATGCGGTTTTCACGAATATATTGTGGTATGCTTCAGTTATGCTTTAGTGTTTGTTTCATGTCAATCGGTTCATAAATAAAAAAGTTATGTCAAATTAAAGAACTGAAGACCTGCGTTCAATATTCGACCGGGTGTGTCAATTGTATGTGGCTCTGTCCCGTGTTAGCAATCCCAGCAGCCTGTATGCTTTCACCCCCGATGGCCATACGTCTAATATTGTATATAGAAAAGCATTACAGTAAAGTACGTTTTTTAGCTACTCAATATGACTGTGATTATGATCCAAAATAAAAATAAGTATATATTTAAAAAAAAAACTCTGCTCATAGTCACTATTCCACGCGAACGAAGTCGCGGGCACAGCTAGTATATATATATATATATATATATATATATATATATATATATATATATATATATATATATATATATATATATATATATATATATATATATATATATATATCGTCAAATATCACGTCCTCAAATATCGATAGTAATTCACCGGTCACCCTGTATATACATATATATACATTTATTCATTTTCAGCTTTTATTGGTAGAGAAAAATTATTATTTAGGCGCTGCTATAGAAAAAAATACAAAAATATACAATCATTATTAATTTGAATTTTTAAAAACATTATTCCACATTCATTACGTGTATTCATTGTTATTTATCTAAAACTTAT